AATCTCTCTGTGCCTCAACTTTCTCATCTATAAAATGGGATTAATAGCAGTATTTACATCACAGGGCCGCTATAGAGATTAATTTATTAAAATATCTAAGCTGCTAAGAACAGTGTTTGGCATGCAGAAATTATTATATCACTGTTAATTTTCTTATTATTTTTAATGGAGAAGCCCATGCTTGCATTTTGTCACACAGAAAATTCATACATATTTTAGTTAGACTATCATATAAACTAATGGGTACACAAAAAAGATCTCTTTCTTATTGTAATGGATATGTCATTTTTGCCTGCCCAGCATCCATTTCCTCCTCTTCTGGTAACAACTTCTTAGTTTTTCCTATGGAAGACCCTCCTCTTTCACATTCTAGGTGAGGCTGCCTCCTCTCCAGAGGTAGATACATGACCCAGGCTGACCACAGTAACTGGTTTAAGAATTGGTAAATGACCCAAATCAGTTCAATGTGACTCCATTCCAGAGCTTTCGTTGTGCTCTTTGAAGAAGAGTCACCCTCTTCCCACTGGACTTGACACTATGAGGCTATAAATGGCAGAGGCTTCCTGTGGTCACTCTGGCCAGTATCTGGGAAGAGCCTGCCTGAATGCAGCTAATGCCAAGATGGAGAAAGAATTGATTCTGATGAGATCACTGAGTCTCTGGATACTGCTAGGCCTGAAGTCAGGATCTATCCTTGAACTGTTCAGTTATGAAGGCCAATAAATTTACTTTTTATTATAATCTGGCCAGTTTGGATTAGGATTCTGTTATCTGCATATGAAACGACTGACAACACACTGACATACAACCTTTCAGATACTTGAAGACAACAATCATCCCCTCCAAGTATACAACTTCTCACTTACTGCCATTAAAAAATCAGTCCAGTCGGATCTCCAAAAAAAAAAAAAAAATCAGTCCATACGACAGTCAATCAAAATCTATTTGGATCCAGGGCCCTTTACCCAAAGATTGGGCACTCAAAAAACACAACATGTTATGTGAAACAAGAAAGGCTCCTACTTCAGTATTTCTATATGCCTGCCTTTTAGTATTTAATACAATCAGCTACTTTAAAAAATATCCTATTGAAAGTATATTTTGGGGCCGGCCCGGTGGCGCACTGCTACAGTGCGCCGCTTGGGAAGAGCAGCGGCAATCCCGCCGAGGGTTCGGATCCCACATACAGACCGGTTCCCGCTCACTGGCTGAGCAAGGCGCAGGAGCAACGCCGAGGGCTGCAGTCCCGTTGCCAGTCCCGGTCCGGTGCGGGGGCGACACTGAGGGTTGCGATCCGTTGCCGGACACGGAAAAAGACAAAAAAAAAAATAAAAAAGAAAGTATATTTTGGTGCTCGCTTCAGCAACACATATACTAAAATTGAAAAACATAGAGAAGATTAACAAGGCCCCTGTGCAAGGATGACATGGAAATTTGTGAAGCATTTCATATTTTAAAAATAAATAAATAAAGCATACTTTGAAGACACGTGATACTTAAGATTTTGTATCCTCCCCCCATTATGGGACAAATAATTATCCTGACTTCTTCAGATCCAGATGATGAGTGATTACCAAATCTCTTTCTCTAGCCCTGACATCAGCCCCCAATTCCATACTGAAACCTCTGAATACCATGCTATCACCTTATATACACAAACACTGCTCTATCCTTTCTGACTCACCTCTTTTAGCCTATGTCACCCTCTTCCTAGTGCCTAAACTCAAAACCTTAGAATTGGTCTTTTTGAATTTCATTACTGTGCTGAGCTTCAACATGGATTATCTCAGTTAATGGGATATATAGTATGATTTCCAATTTTAAAGTTGAGAAAACTGATGTGAGGTCACACAGCTAGTAGGTGGCAGAGCCAGAGAAAAAGTCAAACCTTTTCTGAGAGTCCAGAACCTGGGCTCTTTTTTTTTTCCCCCCTTACTGGTCATTTTTATTTATTTATTTATTTTAATTTTAATTTTATTTTGTCGATATACAATGTGGTTGATTATTGTGGTCCATTACCGAAACCTCCCTCCCTCCTCCCCCTCCCACTCAACAA